TGAACGTCGTCGTTTCTCTCTCCTCCCTGCCTCGAAGTTCAGAGATTATCCAGACTATGAACTCTGAACGTCGTCGTTTCTCTCTCCTCCATACCTCGAATTTCCGAGTCCGAAGGTGCCGAAATTCGGTGAGGGGAGAAACGAACACAGAGACACCTCTCTCTCTCTCCTCCATAGATGGCGTTCATAACCAATTCTAGAAATCGTGTTTCGTCATCCTGTACCTACCGACCCTTGTTCAAGTTTAAATGTGACTCTCGCTGCCCGCCTCAGCTTCATTCTGGTTTCAGGTGCTTCTTCTTTCTCCAAAGTTTTCATTTTCCTTCACTTTCTCACAAACCAAGCACACGATCCACCGTTTTATAAATTCCTTGTTCTTAGACAACGACTTCACGAACTAATTTAGAAGAGACACGCAGGTTCTTTTTCTTTCAACAACAATATCACGAGGGTGGCAGCGATGAGCCAAAATCTTCAAGAAAAACTAAAAGAGCGAGGTCTATGGCACTTCTCATAGACTCAAAGCCATGGTCAGATAAGCTTGAATCTTCTCTTTCTTCACTCTCTCCCTCTCTCTCTAAGAACTCTGTTTTCCAAACTCTTCAGCTTATCGGAATACCCGCTAGAGCCCTACAGTTCTTCGACTGGGTACAGAAGAGGGGCTTTGCTCATGACGAACAATCCTTCTTCTTGATGCTTGAGATATTGGGTCGAGCTCGAAACCTCAATGCGGCTCGTAATTTCTTGTTCTCTATAGAGAAGAGGTCAAATGGGTCTGTCAAGCTGGAGGACCGATTCTTTAACAGCTTAATCAGGAGTTATGGTAATGCTGGGTTGTTTCAAGAATCTATTAAGCTTTTCGAGTCCATGAGAAGCATGGGTATTTCGTCTTCCGTTGTTACCTTCAATAGTGTTTTGTCGATTTTGCTTAAACGGGGACGGACTAATATGGCACAGAGTCTGTTTGGCGAAATGCTTAGAACATATGGTGTTACACCTGATGTTTATACGTTCAATATTTTGATAAGAGGGTTTTGTAAGAACTCAATGTTGGATGAGGGGTTTAGGTTTTTTAAGGAAATGGAGCAATTTAAATGTGAACCTGATGTTATTACTTATAATACAATTATTGATGGCTTGTGTCGATCCGGGAAAGTAAGGATTGCACACAATGTGGTGAAGGGTATGAATAAGAAAAGGGAAGATTTACATCCTAATGTTGTTACTTATACCACTTTGGTTAGAGGATATTGTGTGAGGCAAGAGATTGAGGAGGCTATGGTTGTTTTTGAAGAAATAATCAGTCGAGGTCTGAAACCGAATCAAATTACTTGCAATACTTTGATTAAGGGGCTTTGTGAAGCCAAGAAATATGACAAGATAAAAGAAATCTTGGAGAAAATGATGCAAGTTGGAGGTTTTAAACCCGATACTTGTACTTTCAATACATTAATGAATGCGCATTGCAAAGCAGGGAACTCAGAAGAAGCTTTAAAAGTTTTCCACAAGATGTCAGCTTTGCAAGTGCAACCAGATTCAGCTACATACAATGTCTTAATTCGCAGCTTGTGTCAACAAGGAGATTTTGAAAGGGGAGAGAAGTTGTTTGACGAAGTATCAGAGAAGGAGATCTTGTTAAGCAATGTTGGGTGCAGACCTCTTGTTGCAGCATATAACCCCATGTTTGAGTATCTATGTGCAAATGGGAAGACTGACAAAGCTGAGAGAGTGTTTAGACAGCTAATGAAAAGGGGAATACAAGACCGTTCTTCTTACAGAACTTTGATCATGGGGCATTGTAAAGAAGGGACATTTAAGAGTGGGTATGAGCTTTTGGTCTTGATGCTGCAGAGGGATTTTGTGCCTGAGCTTGAGACATACGTATTATTAATTAATGGTCTCTTAAAAACTGGTGAAGCTCTTCTTGCCTATAAGGCTCTAGAAAAAATGGTTAAGAGCTCCCACCTTCCTAGTACTGCTATTTATCATTCTACACTCGAAGAACTTGTAAAGAAGAAATGTGCCCATGAATCAGCCAGCTTGATAATGCTAATGCTGGGCAAAAGAGTTAGACAAAACATAACTCATACAACAAGTGCTGTGAGATTGATTTTCTGTAGTGGATTTCGGGATAAAGCATTTATGATTATCCACTTGCTTTATGATAATGGATACGTAATTGAAATGGAAGAATTGATTGGTTTCTTTTGCAAACAAAGAAAGCTAATAGAGGCACATAAATTATTGCTCTTTTGCTTAGAGAAGCATCAAAGAATCGACATTGACTTGTGCAACATGGTTATAGAAGGCATTTGTGAAAGTAATAGATTGTCAGAAGCATTTAGTTTGTATTGTCAATTGGTGGAAAGAGGAAATCATCAGCAGTTGAGGTCCTTAGAGAAATTGAAAATTGCCTTACAAGCTGCCAGAAGATTGGATGAAGCTGAATTTGTGTCAAAGAGAATGATCAAAGAATTAGCAATCAGATAGATCTCCTAGAAGTAGTTTGATATTCAAAAACATGCACTCTTGAAGTACATGTGCTCTACATCCTATTATCTTTTCGAGTTTACTGAGATTGTGTTTGGTTTATTTTTCCATTTAATTCTTATAGTTCTTAAATTAGTTTTGATCTGCATAATTAAAATATAATTTGTTATTTTTGAGTTACCACTACCCCATCTTTGACTTGAGAATTCAATTCTATCTTTTGAACGGAGTGTCTAATATCCATCAAAAAGAAATTTAAGATGGGATGGTATTAACCCAAATAGAACAATTTATGTTTAAGTTATACATATTAAAAATTACATGAGAATTACTGAATTAGTACTAGGAATTGAATGGAAAATAAACCAAATACAAAGTGAATATTGAATTCTGGTGTTCAGGATGTAATGCCTGCTTCTCCCATTAGGATAATGGATAATATAATGAGATAGATGGCACTCGCCTCCCTTGGCAGAACCAAAGTTCAAGGTTTGAGCATGCCACTCCTTGCTAGTTTCCATTGACATTCCAATGGGAATTGGATTGAGGTGATTTGATCTATGGCTTTCTAACAATCTTTGACTTTGTTCTCAGCTCCTGCTATTCTTGGTGTAATTTCTCATGCTGCTTTCCCCTTTTGCCCGGGTTCTCAGATATGGGAAGAAGCTTGAATCTGTCATAAGCTAACCGGATAGAGAATGATAATAATTCTCTTCATGTTGCATCCTGGAGTTTAAGCGGAACCATGGTTTATCTTGGGCTGTTATTTTTATTAATATAACCTAATATTTATTTATTCTTGCGTTAGACAATAGTCGAATTTCCAATGTCCAACTTTATGAAGATAGAGAAGTATCACTTGAGTCAAAAGTCAGGTGTCTTGCAACCAAGTCGATAGATCTGCATGACTTGTCCTAACTCTTACCCTCATCTTACTTAAGGTGGTGTATCAATTGTACTTCTAAATATTAAACAAAAAGGCAAGACATACATGACTTATCTAACTCTTACCCTCATCACATTTAAGATGTGTGAGTAAATCTTGATTCTAAATATTAACAAAAAGCAAAGCAAAAGTTTGTTGCCCCTCTTGACCAAGAGAATGACACCACAATTAAGTACATATTTTTTCTATTTTTCACACTAGTCTTTCTTAACAACAAACTCTCTCCAATAACAAGCTACACCTTCTTTATATTCCACTACTTTGTAAAACTTTTTTCATAAACATATATTTGTATCTTCTTGCTAAACACCCAAATATGTCAAATTTTGATAACAATGGCACTAACAAAATTCGTCTTCCTCGTTTAAAACGTGCTGTGACGCCCGGGAAGGCAACAGTTCTTGCAATTGGCAAGGCATTCCCAAGCCAACTCATTCCTCAAGAATGCTTGGTGGAGGGTTACATCCGAGATACAAAATGTGAAGACGTGTCCATCAAGGAGAAACTCGAGCGACTGTGTAAGAATTTCTTTTTATTCTCGTTACTTCAAATTAATTTGGTGAATCTATGATTTCTATCTTTAGGAGTTCTCATTTTCTTTGAAGATTTATTTGTGCATGTTTATGTATGTATTTGGCTGAGTTAGACATGCATTTTCTTTTTTTTTTTAATTGAAAAGAGTAACTATTTTCTTAGGTAAAACCACAACTGTGAAGACAAGATACACGGTCATGTCAAAAGAGATCTTGGACAAATACCCTGAGCTGGCCACTGAAGGGTCCCCAACAATCAAACAGAGGCTGGAGATAGCAAATCCAGCCGTCCTGAAAATGGCTGTGGAAGCAAGTGATGCTTGTATAAAGCAATGGGGAAGGCCACCTACAGATATCACCCATATCATCTACATTTCTTCAAGTGAGATACGTCTACCTGGTGGTGATCTTTACCTTGCAAGTCAGCTTGGCCTAAAAAATGATGTTGGTAGGATAATGTTATACTTCTTAGGCTGCTATGGAGGTGTCACTGGCCTACGAGTGGGCAAAGATATTGCTGAGAATAATCCGGGAAGTCGTGTTTTACTTACAACTTCTGAAACTACCATACTTGGTTTCCGCCCCCCGAATAAGGAACGCCCTTATGACCTTGTGGGGGCTGCACTTTTTGGTGATGGAGCAGCTGCTGTAATAATTGGAACCGGCCCCTTAATAGGAAAAGAGTCTCCTTTCATGGAACTCAACTATGCAGTTCAACAATTCTTGCCAGGGACACAAAATGTCATCAATGGTAACCTGTCTGAAGATGGCATAAACTTCAAGCTTGGAAGAGATCTTCCCCAAATAATTGAAGAAAACATCCATGACTTCTGCATCAAACTAATGGAAAAAGCTTCTCTAAAAGACTTCAACGACCTATTTTGGGCTGTCCATCCCGGTGGACCCGCTATTCTTAATCGCCTACAAGCCACTCTCAATTTAAAAACTGAAAAGCTAGATTGTAGTAGGAGAGCTCTTATGGACTATGGAAATGTAAGTAGCAACACTATCATCTATGTCATGGATTATATGAGAGAGGAGTTGAATTGGAAGGGAGGAGAAGAATGGGGACTTGCCTTGGCATTTGGGCCTGGAATTACATTTGAAGGCATCCTTCTACGCAGCCTTTAGTGTCTGCCTTCATTTCAGAACTTCACCTATTATTATTCTACATTGCTGCTACTTTTGGAACTAGTTCTTCATACATGAAAAATCAATTTAAAAAAAAGTTGTGTATTTTTCACTCTACTGAAAATTACAATATAATTAATATCTTAGGTTCGCTTATTGTGAATTTGTACAGCTAGAAAAATGAAAGGGTACGAGAAGCTATATCTAATGCATAAGATATATCTTGTACCAATGGAGATTACAACCAACATCTACCTCTATTTTCTCATTGAACACACGAATTATCAACTAAACATGTAGAAAAGATATGGATAATAGGTAGGTGATTGCTCTTGAGTGTAATAAGTAGAAATTTTCTGATAATGGTATAAAAGCCTCAATTTGTGATAAACAAAACTGTCACATTGGAACTGAAAGTGAAGAAGATGCCATTTCGTCTTGTTATTCTTGATAAAGGCTAAGCTCTGCATGCCTTTCACATTTTTGCCTTTAAACTCTATCTCACAATCCTTTCAATTTTGTGTAAGTTTTAGAATTATAATAATGAATTTATTTTTGAAATCTGAACTATTTTATTGATTTACATAACTTCTATTTATAGAAATAAACTTACCTA